TTATTCATGAGGACTAAAAAAGTTATTTGTACAAAGCTTATACCTAATTTTGAAGAGAGGATGTTTTAATTCTTATTTATATATTATTTGACTGAGGAAAAAAGCCATTTAACTAAATGCACTCAAAACCCTAAAACGCTAACCAAAGGTGCTAAGGAGTCCAAGATACTAAATGTGAATTACAAAAAGCTGTATATATTTAGATGAAAGCAATTCCAGAGAATCTGAATTTGAAGGCTTAGATTCAAATGTTATGATAATAAAACAAGAAGTATGTGAATGTAAACTAATATTTCTTCAACTCAAGGTACCTATGGATTTCTTTGGGTTCTTTGTATAATGCAGAATCTAATGTAGTAAGTAGGTCAAGAGCAGGGCTTGAGATTTGGCACTTCTAACAAGATTCCAGACAGAACCAATTAGGCAAGATATCAGATTAAACACTAGTGTAGTATCTTTCTGCTGTCTCTCAGTCCAAATACTAGATTGAAGATAGTCCTTAAACTGGAAGTACTACATTCGCTCCAAATCCCATTATTTCCCTCCATCTCCACTGTCATCATAATTCAGGTCACTCTTACTATGTTTCTTCAATTACCGTAATAGCCTCCCACTGATTTCTCTGCCTCTAGTTTTGCCCCATTACCCATTCTCCATATTAAAGCAGTAAAATAAATCCTTCAAAAACTCAGATCTGGTTATCATATTCTGCTGCTTAAATGGTTCAGTAAATAAGACACAAGCTGCCCCTTGGGCCTGTGTCACCTGACCTCCCCCCGCCCCCACATACACACACACTGCACACTCAGTATGCTAGCCCTAGTGAATTTCTTTCAAATGCTCTTCAAGTCTTTGTTTATGCTAGTCCTTTTGCATAAAGCATCTTCCCTGGCTATATTCTGTTCACTCTTTAGGGCTTAAGATAAACATCACTTCCTTCCATGCTGATCAGTTTGATGCCTAGCCTTATCACAGTACTACACATTGCTATAGCGTATTTAACTGTCTTTGCTGCTTAGCTGTTAGCTCAGGAAGAACAGGGACCATGTCTATGTTGTTAGCTCTGCCTATATCCAGTGCCTGGCACACTAACTGGCACTAGTAGACACTTCAATCAACTTTCATTCTAAATGTATTCATTAATCTATCAATGAGGTATTCATCTTTGGCTGACTCTTTTCTAGAATTCATGATTATATCTTTCTTCAGTCAATACATTTTTTCCATAGAAAGAATACAGTATGATTGACCAGGCCCTGACTTTACCTTGATAAAACCTTGCTTATCTGGAAACCTTGATTATAGTGAAACAAACATTAGAAAAAAAGACTGAAAGCTGGAAGACGCATGAGAATTAAAGTCATATGAATAAATAACAGCTATAAAAAGTGGGTATAAAAATCAAAAGTATAAAAAGGCACTAAAGCAGCAAAGAGACAGAAGTAGATAATTTGGCCTCTATGGTAGAAAAAAGCTTTTCCAAGAAAGGTATTGGGTCTTTGAGGATAAGCAGAAACTTGCAGATGAAAGGAAAAGTCATTCTAGACAAAAGAAATGTGTTTGAAAACATACTTTAAGAGAGTTCTGTGTATTTATATTCTCTACAGAATTGTAGATGGTGCTGGAAACAAAGACTTCAAGGAAAAAAGCCTTTGCTGTCCAGCATAAAAAGCTGGGCTCTACTCATTAGTAACAGGAGAAACACAAACATACATTTTTAGCAGCAACATGGCATAATCAATTTAAAAAAATACACTTTCATAGTGGTGTGGATACACTCAAGGAGGCAAGATCAGTGAATAGTGCAAGCAAAGAATGAGAAACCTTGAATACAGTGGTAATGGGAAAGGAGATAGATGTATGGAATACTATAAGTACAGTATAAATAACAGGACTTAGGCAGGGGATGGACTAGTAGTAGTAGTAGCAGTAGCAGTAGTAGTAGTAATAGTAGTAGTAGTAGTAGTAGTAGTAGTAGTAGTAGTAGTAGTAGTAGTAGTAATCTTTGAGTGAGAGTCTATGTACTGTTTTTGATAGTGAAGTGTGGCAGAATATGCCACCACAAAATATGCCATTTTGGCATAAGATTATTTTGAGCTAAAGGCACTTGAAAATCAGCGGATGCAAAAGAGACACTGCCCTCCCTGCACCAGGAAGAAAGTAGTATCACTGAAGGGAGAAGACTTCCACGTGAAAGATGCCCTCCCTGTACAAGCAGAGAAGAAACATTCTTGCTACCAGAGATGAGTGAAGGTGGAGAAAAACCTGTACAAATGGTCCCCGTTAAAATAACTTACCTTCCTTTATTCTCTTCATACATTTTACTTTTCCACAATTGCTACTTTTCGTTCAACCTACTATACAAGCATTTAGGTTTTGCCACATCTTTGGATCTTCATTTTCCTATGGGGGCTCCCATGTACATGGGAAAATCCGTTTGTCTCCTGCTAATTTATCTTATGTCAATTCAATTCTCAGGCCTAGCCAGAGACGTTAAGATGGTAAAGTTTTGCCTCCCATACAATAGCAAAAGGCACGCAGACAAAACGTCCTCCACCTTACGAGGACTTATAGAAGGTAATGCTTTCCCATCAAAGTGGGGAATGGGAAAAATGAAAAAAAAAAAAAAAAAGCGAGCCAGTCATGAGTCTGAAAATGATCAATCTTTACTATAGTTCAACTTAATAGTTTTACAATTGTAATTACAAATAACTATTCCATAGCTTATTTTTAAACATTTTTTCATAAATATCCTAACAGAGATACAGTCTTCGAAAAGCTCAAAAGTTTCAGAGACAAGAAAACAAACACAGAAATACTGTTGATGGGGAGCCTGGAAAGGAGATCTACCTGGGGCAAACATTACTGGGAAACTGCAAAAGTAAATCTATAGGGATGGCCAAGAGACATACGAAACATGTACAGAATTCTGTTGCATTGTCACAAGTGCCTCTCAGGGTTTCAACAAATGAAGAGCTACATCTCATGATTTCTTAAGTTGATTTGCACTCCAAGAACATAACACCTTAAGTGAACTGAAGTTCTAAAACGAAGTAGAACTACTCCAAAATATTCAGCCTTCTCATCACTCAAATTCCCTGACTGTTCAACTTTCCCGTGATTCTCTACTTTTCTTACCACCCATCGCCCCAACATAAAATTAAAATAATTTATACATTTGGGATAGTTACTAAGTCCCACGTTTTAAATTTTTAAATGCTGAGTTTAATATTTTACATTTAAATAATTAAAAAGCAAAATCAAATTAAATTTTTACTAGTGATTTAGTGGACTTCACTGAGGAAAAAAAAACAAACCATATATATACAGTCCTAATTCCCACAAGTATTAGGAATAAATATGTCATAATAAAATTAATATGAATTTTTAGAAATTTCCTCTTCAAAAATACATTTGCATGTTCTGAGTGTGCTACTGCTGTCAGTGCTGTACTGACTTTCCAGCTTTCTTCTCTGAGTGGGATAAGAAACCTGCCATTTTCACTAGGAACATTAAAACTCAAGAGACACAACAATTAAAGCTTTAATTTTGTAGTTTAATGTTTCACACTACCTCTACTTCACTTTCTTTGTCATTCCATTTCAAAGAAAGAAGGCAAACCTGGGGACTGTTAAAAAGTAAAAATCAAAGCTACAATGTTATTTGAGCTCAAAAAGTGCTGTAGTTTATAAAATTGAGAAGGTTTTTTTTTTTTTAATTAATTTTTATGCTTCCCAAAGTGTGTATCAATTATATAGTTATGAGTAATGAATGGCATGAAACAAGGTCCCAAAGTTTTCAAATTTTGTTTTTAAAATATATTACAACATCACATTAAAAACAGTAGAGGAAAACAAGCAACCAGGATAGAACTACTTTTTTCCAACTCAACAGTACTTAGCTTTACCTAGAATTTTCGTATAGTTGATGTTAACTTCTTCTGAACGCTTTCTGACTAGTATTTTACCTTATGTATTCTTTATAGTATTTCCATATAATTTTTACCTAGACCTATTCAGAGCATAGCACAGACAGGGCAGCACAAGCAACTGACACCTTTGTTGGCAGCACAATGTTTTTTCATCCAGTTTATGAGAGAACGAAAAGAATGAAAGTGAAAATTTTACTTAGAGTTAATTACTGTAGCTCCAGGTAATCTCTTCAGAAGTCCCCTGCTTCACCATCTCAAGTTAATCAATAATGGCTGGTTTATGACTGGAAACCACTTACCAAATTGCCTAAACAAGAAAACTTTTTAAAATAACGATTTGCAGATCTGTCCAACAACTTCAATAAAGTCGAATTTGCTTTATTTTTCCAAAAATTATGTTGTCAAGATAGAGACTCTTTGTAAGTGTAAATGTATGATGTACTATGAATTGATTTTTAGTTCCTGTTACAGAGTTGTTAGACAAGTTATTAAAGTTTAAGAAAATTTGAATTCTAAATTTCCACCTGATAACATATATATTTTATATTTTCAATATATACTTATATTTTGCACACTGTATATAAACTAGATTAGAAATGTCTTAAGTCATTTCACTGTGTGTATATCTGCACTATATAAAGAAAAAAAGAAAGGCAGAAAGACACTTTCCTTCTATCTTCCATAAGAAAACAAAAATGTTTCTTTTTAAAATTGAATTTTTCAAAAGGGAAAAAATATCCTCTGATAGGAAATCACTTGTTTTAATAAAAGGTAAAACACTGCCATGTCAACCACAAGGTGGTGCTATAGTTCCATGCTGGCACTGATATTTTAGGAGTTAATCGATACAGTAGTTTTTTCCATTATAACTATAACCTCTTAATTTTTATAAATGTACTTCTCTCACAATCAAAAAAAATTAAAGCTAACATGCTTCATTAATTCTGGAAACATTTACTGAAACTCTGTTAAATTCAAAATTGTATGTTTCTGTAGGCTATCATTTTAAAGTTCTGACAACCAAATATTTATTAGAATATTAAAAATGCGGCCAAGCATGGTGACTCACCCATGTAATCTTAGCACTTTGGGAGTTCCAGGTGGGCAGGTAGCTTTAGCTCACGAGTTCGAGAACAGACTGGGCAACATGGAGAAACCCTGTCTCTACAAAAATACAAACATTAGCCGGGCATGATGGTACAGGCCTATGGTCTCAGCTACTCAGGAGGCTGAGGCACGAGAATCCACTTGAACTTGGGAGGCGGTGGGTGCAATGAGCCGAGATCACGCCACTGCACTCCAGCCTGGGCAACAGAGTGAGACCCTGTTTCAAAAAGGAAAAAAAAAAAAAAAAAAAGGAACACTAAAAATGTTTTCTTAAAAGTGATTTCTTACGCTGTTTCAAATTCACACACACACAAAAAATTTAAGTGATTTCTACTCATATAACAATATTTTATATTTGACAGTGTAATACCGAATTATACATATATACCATAAATAGATGAATAAATAAAATATAATCAGATGGTCCATATAATAATAAAAAAATACACTTTTTCCTTCCAAATAATGAAGTCAATTTTCTTGAGGAATTTCCGGGATTACTGCTACACTTTTATCTCTAAGTTTTAAAAAAGATAATTCATATAGTAATATTAAAAATAAATTTCATTTTTCCATTGATTTAACTTCAGCAAAGATTTCTCTCTCCAAAAAATGTGTAACTTTTCATCATTAAAAAAACAAAACACGACACCTCACTGTATCTTTTAATGTTGGCTAGAATGGCTATATTCTCTGTCTGTTATACTGGTCTTAAAAAGTGCTACACCGCTAGGAGTGGTGGCTCACGCCTGTAATCCCAGCATTTTGGGAGGCCAAGGCGGGTGGATCACCTGAGGTCAGGAGTTCGAGACCTGCCTGACCAACATGGAGGAACTCCGTCTCTACTAAAAATATAAAATATAAAATTAGCTGGGCATGGTGGTGCATGCCTGTAATCCCAGCTACTCGGGAGACTGAGGCACAAGAATCGCTTGAACCTGCGAGGCGGAGGTTGCAGTGAGCCGAGATCACGCCATTGCACTACAGCCTGGGCAACAAGAACGAAACTGCATCTCAAAAGAAAAAAAAAAAATTCATACAATAGAGCACACTAAAATGTTCAACACATTTCTCACGGTGAGCCTTGAGACCACCGTCCTCTTAGTCTAAACTTGAGGACCACAGTCCTCAAGCCCATTTCCCAGTACAAAAGGGGAATCTTAACCTTAATTTCTCAATGTTAACTGGAAAGGTATTGCTGTTTTTGACCAAGCATGAAATAGCTGTCTTTATATTTAATTTTCAATGAGTATTTTTAACTGTTTATTATAATTTATTCATCAGTACAGATGCGAAGATGGCATATATGAAAGCCTCCTGGGTATAATACACAAGTCCCATTTGGAATGTTTCCAACAGGATGTAAACCATAGTCCTCAAGCCTGTGCTTTAAAAAACATTACTTAGCACACTGCCAACAAATGTCAACACAGAAATACAGTGCTGTAATGACTTCACTCTGTAAGAGAAATAGACTGGAACATGAGTTTTTCCTTAAAAAAAAAAAAGTGACACAAGATAAAGCAGTATAATCATTGCTCAAAAATATTAAAAGATTTATTCAATAATGAATGCAAAAATTCATATACCAAATGGAATCCAAATTGTCAAAAATTGCAGTATATTAAAATTGTATAAAGAATTCTTAAAATATACAATATGTATAGTAACCGAAGTCCTAGAAAAGTTCATGTAGAAAATCCTACAAGTAGTGATTTGGACATTTCAATAACTCTGCAGTTTCTTCAAACCTGAAATATAATAAATAATATATTAAGTAAATCAATAATTCATAATAAAGCATAGCATTTTAGTTGTTGAAATTATGCTTTTTAGCCTAAAATAAATTTGAATATTTTTCTTATCTATAAGTACAGTTACTATGAATAAACTTAAGTATGCTCAGAGGGAGGAAAAAAAGAGTCAATTATGAGTCTTGTATTCTTGGAGTGTAAGTTAAGTACTTTTTGCATTTCAAAATAATATTATAATTTTCTATAGTAGTAGGTTGCATAATCATCTTATATGCAATTTCATTTTATATTTCCTTTGAACTACTCTTTAGAAAAATCACATCATTTGTACTAGACAAAAACATCATTTTTATATCTTATCAATAACTCGCTGAAAAACACCAGTGATATTTTCACAATACTGAAAATGTCTCCAAACCATCCATCTACATATATTATTTAATATTTTGATAAATCAGTTATCAAAAATAGATAATACTCTTGATTAGTTACCAACCAAAAATATCTTTGTACTCTATCTGCAGTTAATTCCATTAACAATTCCAACAAGTTTTACATCACTTGTTGGAAACTAAAACAGTGACTCATCTCACAAACACGTAACTGTAGGTGGATTTATTATCCAATGGAGTCCTGAAGGAAATTCCACACCTGACTGAGAGACCTTTAAGGTTTGAAACACACATGCACATTCTATATATACTGTAATCCAATACAATTCCCTATGGAGAAATGAATTTCTGTTGCCCCTTTCTGTTACTTACATTTTTTTCATCCTTTCCATTTTCTGGATTGTTGTTTCCTTTAATTTAAAAAGCAACAAATTTAGATGACTTCTCAAAGTAAACCATCATCAAAGATGGACCGAGAATGTACAAAATACAGTTTGAAACATTGCATTAAGTACTGTTTACTTATGAAAGAATTTTGAGAGACTAAGATTCAGTTTTGCTATTTTTCTTGCCAGCAATATTTACAACTAAAACTAATGCTTGCTCGTTTTCCTAATTTAGACAGGAAATAATCAAGCATTTTCTTACCTCTGAAATCTCATTCAAACCACAGTAATTAATGGTAGAGGCTCTGGGAGTTGAATCTGATGATGCCGTACTATAGCCAGAGGACAGAGGAATACTTGCTGGCCTCCCTACTTTGTTTTTTCTGTCTGTGAAGAAATTAAGTTTTAGATTACCTTTTCCTTTCACAGTAGAGTCAAATATCTAAAAATGTTATTTATAGATGGAAGAAAAACATACTATTTTAATTAAACATGGCTATCGGTATAGATCAAAGAGTTTTTAGTACTATTTTAAGGTAAAAGCTTTCATATGGAGATCTAGATGTTAAAAATTGCCCAATAAAAATTACAAAAGGCAGTATTATTATCATGGTAGCAATCAGTTTGAAAAACAGGCAAGTTAATTATTTATTTTAAAATATAACCTATTGAATCAATCATGTATATTCTTTTCTTAAAATGGTGACATCTACATTAAATAATTCGTATCCATGAATTTGTCATGATGCTTTTATTCAGCAACATTCAAGCATTTCACAAATTTTTTTACTACTGTTCTGTGGCAAGTGACTATTCCTATAACTGACCATATATATCTTTTAAAAATCAAGAAACATTCTAACTTGATTTAACACATATGAAAGTAAGTAATGCAAAAATTTAAGATCCACAGATTTCTTCTTCTAAAAAACTGAAAAACCTAACATTTCAAATATCCTGATAATATTAATTTGACAAAATGATGGCATCTCCCCTTCAAAAATATCAATTAGAGAAGATTATGGATAATGTAATAAATCCTACAAACCCTGTGTTTTAATCAGAATACATTTGGCTGCAAAAGCAATGCAAAAAAAAAAAAAAAAAAAAGGACACCCATTTAAACTGGTTCACATAAAGACAGCTTTATTGTAAGTCTACACAGACAACCTTAATTGGGGAACAAACTATTACCATGTGAGAACTGAAACAACTAGAAGACTAATTTTCATCTCTCATAGAATCATAGTCTCTTTTGCCTACTTCTGCCATTTGCTCCATTCCTCTGCTCTTCTCTGTAGAATGGCTTTCTCTGCTGACTCATCAGCATAAACTTCCACCACATGGCCAGCCCAGCCCAGGCTCAATATCATTTGACTAACTGACTCGTGGTGTCCTAATTCCAAATTCTAAGAGAGAGAATGAAATTTGACTCATCACACTTTGAATTCCTATTCTCTGGGTTAAGTGTCTACTCTTAATCCAGTTAGCTAAGCCTGGAGGTCAAGATTACAGGGTACAACTCTGAAGACTACATAAACTCAGATCTTTTAGCAGGATCTGTGGACAAGAGGTTATTTTAAGAAATAATTTGAAATTAGGCAGGAACTATATCTACTACGCACTAAATCTTGGATTACTTTCTGTGGGTACAGATAGTTGTTGTGAATATTTCTTATGTCTTTCCAAAAAGAGGTGGGGGCTAGGAAAAGGAAACAGGTCTGGGAAGACAGATAAAGGGTGAAGGAAGGGCTCTCTTTGTCTTCTACTTTGGGGTGCAGACTTTGAGGTGTCTAAGCTTATTCAAGAATGTGCCTCATGGTGGGAGAAAGCTGGTATTTGGCAGGCTGGCAAGCTATTCACAGTTATTCCTATAGAGGATTCCAGAGGTTACAGAGTAGACCATTACAGAACACCAGCTCTATTTAATAGCCAGATCAGTTAAGTGCATATTAATTTCTGTAATTTTTATTATTGTTTTCTTGAACCTTTAGTAAAGCCTTACTTGTTTAAACATTAATAGTTTCTTAGCTATGCTATAGGGGATTGAGAAAAGAATTGGTAACTGAGTTCAGGTTGGAAAGGAATGGGCAAAGGCAATGGCCACTGACACAAGGACCCTGACACCAGTTGTTATGTACTTCAGTAGTGACTGCTAAGAAGTCTCTGTAAAGAAAGGGATTCTTCTGCTTCTAAGGGTATGGGACATGAGATCTTCTAGCCAACTCTTACCACGTAATAATTAATCTTTCATTGCCATCTTTGGAGGCTCATCACCTATTCACTAAGGAAATAGTAGGGTTCTTTACCATTTAATAATTTGTAAGCCAATATTTCTAAATCAAGGACCAATGTATGTATCCAACTTATTTGTAGATATTTTGTCTTAAGGGTTTCATACATAATTTATTATATTCAAAAGTGAACTCATTATTTCTCCCAAACCTTCTCCTCCTCCTGAACTTTTTATTTTATTAAAGAGTAACAATCATCTACCCAATCACATGAGCTAAACACAAGTAGTCAGTCTTAACTTCCTTACTCTCCTTCACTTTTTGTATCTATCAGGAATCAAGGCATATCAATTTTAACATCTAAATTTCTCCCAAATAAATTACCTGCTCTTTATCCTCACTATCATTGCCTTAGTAGAGACCCTCATTATTATTCTGAAATAATGACTACTAAAATACTCTTCAAATTATCCTTGCCTATCTTACTTTCCTAACAAATCACTGTTCTGCTCTGATGATAACCTTTGTGAAACGCAAACCTCAGAATATTAGCCTTGCTGAAAATCTTTCTACGACTCTGGGATAAACCCCATGACTTGATCTTTCTACTCTTCTGCTTCAGCTTCCTTCAGGTGCTCACATGTACCCTTCCTTCTAGTCACACAGGAACAAACCACACTCTTCTGTGGTGCCACACCTTTCTTAATATTTTTTTCCTCTGAGGAGAAAAAGGCACAAAACAAAGCAAAACAAACAAGCAAAGAAAAAAGGAGCACTAACAGTTGGTGTCCTGTGTGGCAATTAACACCTAAGCTACTGTACCCTCTAGTGAACATAAATAATTTCACAAAAAATAACACCACATGAGGTCACTTCATTGGCGTAATTAAACAACACGCCCAAAACCATTATTCATGTCCAAACATAGACAAAACAAGGGCACCATGTAACCACATAAATGACCGGATATAGCCCCCCCTTGCCTCATAACAGTACTTATTTTATGCTAAAAATTTCATTCTTACCATCAATCATCAAATTGCTCCTGCTCCCTGACAGCACCCATAGGCTTTGCTACCTCAAACCCTCTCCAAAATTATCCAACACAAGTCCAATCCTTAAAAGCCTCTGCTAATTCACTCTTACGAAGACATTAAGGTGCCTTACAATTCCCCATGGAACACTGTATTCCTGATAAAGTCAAAACAAATCTGGAACCTCACAAAAACTATTCCTGATTTAATACGATTCTAAACCCAGAGTGATAAATTATTGCTCTCTGCATCCAAATGAAATCAAATCCTATTCCCAAGTAGCATGTATAAGGTATAATGTGTAAGTCTTTATAAACTTGGGTCTTTTAATTAATCTAGATCAGATCATAAACTCTATGAGACTAGGTATTTACCCTAACCATAATCTGTAATCCATTTCAGATAGTGGCCTGTTAATTACTTTCAGTCCTGGCACAGTTGCTGAAATTTAGCTATGTGAGCCTGGACATGGTAACTCACACCTGTAATCCCGGTACTTTGAGAAGCAGAGACAGGAGGATTGCTTGAGCCCAGGAGTTCAAGACCAGCCTGAGCAACATAGCAAGACCTCGTTTTACTAAAAACAATAAATAAATAAATAAAAATTATCCAGGTGTAGAGGCACGTGCCTGTAGTCCCAGCCACTCAGGAGGCTGAGGCAGGAGGATCACTTTAGGCCAAAGAGTTAATGTCTAGGAGACTGCAGTAAGCTATGATTGCACCACTGCACTCCAGCCTGAGCAACAGAGTAAGACCACCCTTATCTCAAAAAAAACCTAGCCATGTGTTTTCTAAATAGGTTAAAGGTATATTCTATAATCATGTCATTAAAAAAAAAATAGGCCTGAGCATGCAAAATCAAACTTGCAAAAGGCAATGTTTTGCAAATCACAAGCATTCAATATTTTTTCAGTGAATAAATATTTAAACTCCACTATATGCAAATACTGGTGATAAAACCACAGATACACTTTCTGTGTGCTAGACAGGCAGACCATAAGATAAAGTTTTTGCTCTCAAGGATCTTATACTCAAGTGTTAACATTTGTTGAATAGATATATGAATGGATAAATAAAACAGGCAACATTTTACCAAATCTGAAATCTGCAGTCTATAATAAATTTAGTTGCCTTAAATAGCATCTCAAATAATTATATTTAATAACCTAATCACTGAAATTGTTCTTTGTGCAATGATATTGATATGTGTTCCAAATATGCAGTGGTTAAGAAAAAACTTCAGATCAGTTGCCTGGATTCAAATTTGATCTACCATTCAATAACTGTGTGACCTTTGTCATAGTTACTTAATTTTGTGTACTTCAGTTTCCTCAACTGTAAAATATAAAAATAGTACTTATCTTGCATGGTTACTTCAGGAATTAAATGAGTTAATATAGTAGTTAGAATAGTGCCAGGCACACTGTTAGTGCTAGAATATATATTGTTATTTTATTGTTACACATATAGTAAAGCTGAAAGATTTTATGTTAACGATCCAGATATTAAAAATTTAACTTGATGAATTCTCAATTGGACAAAACATCTCTTCTATGGATATGATTTAATCATAGACACGGCACAAAATTTAGATCTGTCTTTTAAAAAAATATAAGAATCAAAAAAAACAAAGCTGTCACTGCAAAACAGAAATCTTATCCTTGCTGCTCAGTCACACTGAGCAAAATATCATTAGCCTAGTAAAGTTATGTGACCAGGAAAAGACCTGTTCTAATATCAGATCTTTCCCATTTTATCATTATCAGTGAACCATTCACATGGAAGAGGTTTGCAATACTTTATAGGTTACTGACAAATGTGTTTTCTTCTCTTACATATTATTATTTACATATGAGAAAGCTATTACCTACCTAAGCTTAAATTTAAAAACTTGGAGGTCAATTTTAAAATTCTAGAACACTTGATTATTCTAGAATGATTAAAACAGTAAAATATCTCTAAACAGTTTCAATTTTGTACACTGAAATTTATTTACCCACTGTGTTATGTAAAATAAGTAGGCTGGCTTCATAAGCAATTCTTGGCTTTAGTAGTCTATAGGTTCATTATTTTCTTTGTTCTAGGAGCTTTGCAATTTCTAAACAATGAAGCTTAAGAATATTAAAATTACCAAATACCTATAACAATCATTTTTCTGAAAACTCATCATACCAATTCTCATAATGTTTACAAACTTACGAGGATTCAGAAGGTCCATGTTGCTACAAGAAGCGCAGTCTTCATTAATTTCATTAAACTCTACATATTCATCATTCTGGAATAACACAGTTAAATATTCAGAATGAAATAAAAAGAAAAACCCTCTCATTTTATATTCTTACTACTGAGCATAAAATATAAAGGTAGCATGATAAATGTTTAAATATTTTTAATTTTGTATTAAAGCAATGCATATACTGTATATTCCTACATATAAGAAATGTTTTAAATATGGAAGCAGATAGCAAGCTTCTTGAATCTATCAACTTCACTTTTTAGGAAGGAAAGACAGACCAGAAATCGAAATCCTGAGTAAAAGAAACAAATTTCTCAGATTTGATAAGGCAATGATAAATTTGGTAACTATTCTATGAAATTCACAATGATTGAAGTAAATGAGTGAAAAAAAGACAGGAAGAGTTATCAATATCTTCTGTATCTTTTCCACCCTACGAAAATAGGTCATTTGTACTATTAAAAGATACAAAATAATTCTAAGCTTTTCATAATATCTATCATACTCTTACCTCATTTTAAGTTCTTCAAGCATCATTAACATCTGTAAAAGCTCAACTTACAAGTTTTTCAGATCATCTTATTCAATGAAGAGAGAAACAACAGCCACAACACCATTCAGGCTATATTTAAACAGGACTTCATTCTAACTAGACATTTTCTCATTATTCAAATATTCTCATATTTAGCATTTCCAAAAAAATACACATACAACAATCAAAAAATTACTTTGTTATATCTGAGATACTTTATAAATGTTAAAAGAAGAAAATACCTTTTTAGACAAAAGCATTTCTGTTTCAAGAAGAGTGACACGACTGAGCAGATTAGTCCAGGTGTTTTCATCTACCATCACATTTCCTTTCATTTTTTGTTCTAAACAGTCTAACCTTTTCTCTATCAAAGTCAGCTCCTTAAGCTTTTCTTGGCATTCAGCAAGCATAGTCTGTAGTGCAGTAATCTCAGGATTAACATTTATATCCTAAAAAGATTAGAGAGATTAAAAATAAAATTAAACAAACTAAAATTTCTTTAAAATTGATGTTTCCCACTTCCACAGTGTTATCTCAATAGTTAGGAGAGACGGTCCTGCTTGAGAGTTAAAAGGTTTATCTCTGGAGGGAGACTACTTGGCCACTTAAACTAGTTCTGAGACTTATGATCTTGATGCCTCCATTTCCTCATTAAAAAAAAAAAGAGAGAGAGAGATAAAAGAAGTATCTACTTCATATGATTCTTCTGATAATGAGTTAATTTGCATGATTCTTTTGATACCAGCTAGTAAAATAAAACTATTATTAACTAGCTTCTTGAAACAACACCTAGCACAAAGCTAAGAGGAAATGACTAAAAACAACACTTAGTGCACTGAGATTATTGGGTTTGCCATGTAACAGGAAGTACGTCCAATGGCCATCTGGTAGTTTTTGTAAGTGCCAACTGTATATTGATATACTGAGATATATAGAAGTCACAAAACATAGAAACATAGAAAAAGAAGTTTTAGCAGAAACAATAGACATCAGACATATTGGTGTCTGTGGCAATTAAGAGTAATAGAAATGTTTATTATTATTATTATTTTTATTATTATTATTACACTTTAAGTTCTAGGGTACCTGTGCACAATGTGAAGGTTTGTTACATATGTATCCATGTGTCATGTTGGTGTGCTGTACTCATTAACTCCTCATTTACATTAAGTATATCTCCTAATGCTATCCCTCCCCGCTACCCCCACCCCATGACAGGCCCCGGTGTGTGATGTTCCCCTTCCTGTGTCCAAGTGTTCTCATTGTTCAATTCCCACCTATGAGTGAGAACATTCGGTGTTCGGTTTTTGTCCTGCTGATAGTTTGCTGAGAATGATGATTTCCAGCTTCATCCATGTCCCTACAAAGAACATGAGCTCATCTTTTTTATGGCTGTATAGTATTTCATGGTGTATATGTGCCACATTTTCTTAATCCAGTCTGTCACTGATGGACATTTGGGTTGGTTCCAAGTCTTTGCTATTGTGAATAGTGCCAAAATAAACATATGTGAGCATGCGTCTTTATAGTAGCATGATTTATAATCCTTTGGGTATTTACCCAGTAACGGCATGGCTGGGTCAAATGGTATTTCTAGTACTAGATCCTTGAGGAATCGCCACACTGTCTTTCACAATGGTTGAACTAGTTTACAGTCCCACCAACAATGTAAAAGAGTTCCTATTTCTCCACATCCTCTCCAGCACCTGTTGTTTCCTGACTTTTTAATGACTGCCATCCTAACTGGTGTGAGATGGTATCTCATTGTGGTTTTGATTTGCATTTCTCTGATGGCCAGTGATGATGAGCATTTTTTCATGTGTCTGTTAGCTGCATAAATGTGTTCTTTTGAGAAGTGTCTGTTCATATCCTTTGCCCACTTTCTGATGGGGTTGTTTGATGTTTTCTTGTAAATTTAAGTTCTTTGTAGATTATGGATATTAGCCCTTTGTCAGATAGGTAGATTGTAAAACTTTTCTCCCATTCTGTAGGTTGCCTGTTCACTCTGATGGTAGTTTCTTTTGCTATGCAGAAGCTCTTTAGTTTAATTAGATCCCATTTGTCAATTCTGGCTTTTGTTGCCATTGCTTTTGGTGTTTTAGACATGAAGTCCTTGCCCATGCCTATGTCCTAAATGGTATTGCCTAGGTTTTCTTCTAGGGTTTTTATAGTTTTAGATCTAACATGTAAGTCTTTAATCCATCTTGAATTAATTTTTTATAAAGTATAAGGAAGGGATTCAGTTTCAGCTTTCTACATATGGCTAGCCAGTTTTCCCAGCACCATTTATTAAATAGGGAATCCTTTCCCCATTTCTTATTTTTGTCACGTTTCTCAAAGATCAGATGGTTGTGGATGTGTAGTATTATTTCTCAGAGCTCTGTTCTGTTCCATTGGTCTATATCACTGTTTTGGTACCAGTACCATGCTGTTTTGGTTACTGTAGCCTTGTAGTATAATTTGAAGTTAGCTAGCATGATGCCTCCAGCTTTCTTTTGGCTTAGGATTGTCTTGGCAATGCGGGGTCTTTTTTGGTTCCATATGAACTTTAGTTTTTTCCAGTTCGGTAAAGAAAGTCATTGGTAGCTTGATGGGGATGGCACTGAATCTATAAATTACCTTGGGCAGTGTGGCCATTTTCACAATATTGATTCTTCCTATCCTTGAGCATGGAATGTCATTCCATTTGTTTGTGTCCTCTTTCATTTCGTTGAGCAGTGGTTTGCAGTTCTCCTTGAAGAGGTCCTTCACATCCCTTGTAAGTTGGATTCCTAAGTATTTTATTCTCTTTGAAGCAATTGTGAATGGGAGTTCACTCATGATTTGGCTCTCTGTTTGTCTGTTATTGGTGTATAGGAATGCTTGTGATTTTTGTACATTGATTTTCTATCCAGAGACTTTGCTGAAGTTTCTTATCAGCTTAAGGAGATTTTGGGCTGAGACAATGGGGTTTTCTAAATATACAATCATGTCATCTGCAAACAGGGACAATTTGAATTCCTCTTTTCCTAACTGAATACCCTTTCTTTCTTTCTCCTGTATGACTGCCCTGGCCAGAACTTCCAACAGCATGTTGACTAGGAGTGGTGAGAGAGGGCATCCCTGTCTTGTGCCAGTTTTCAAAGGGAATGGTTCCAGTTTTTGCCCATTCAGTATATTGGCTGTGGGTTTGTCATAAATAGCTCTTATTATTTTGAGATATGTCCCATCAATACCAAATTTATTGAGAGTTTTTAGCATGAAGGTTGTTGAATTTTGTTGAAGGCTTTTTCTGTATCTATTGAGATAATCATGTGGTTTTTGTCTTTGGTTCTGTTTATAGGATGGATTATGCTTATTGATTTGCATATGTGGAACCAGCTTTGCAGCCCAGGGATGAAGCCCACTTGATCATGGTGGATATAAGCTTTTTGATGGGCTGCTGTATTCGGTTTGCCAGTATTTTATCGAGGATTTTTGCATCAATGTTCATCAGGGACATTGGTCTAAAATTCTCTTTTTTTGTTGTGTCTCTGCCAGGCTTTGGTATTAGGATGATGCTGGCCTCATAAAATGAGTTCGGGAGGATTCCCTCTTTCTCTATTGATTGGAATAGTTTCAGAAGGAATGGTACCAGCTCCTCTTGGTACCTCTGGTAGAATTCGGCTGTGAATCCGTCTGGTCCTGGACTTTTTTTAGTTGGTAGGTTATTAATTATTCCCTCAATTTCAGAGCCTGTTATTGGTCAATTCAGGGATCTGAGACGAAGCTTCCAGAGGAACGATCAGGCAGCAACATTTGCTGTTCTGCAATATTCATTGTTTTGCAGCCTCCACTGCTGATACCCAGGCAAACAGGGTCTAGAGTGGACTCCGAGCAAACTCCAACAGACCTGCAGCTGAGGGTCCTGACTGTTAGAAGGAAAACTAACTAATAGAAAGGACATCCAGACCAAAACCCCATCTGTATGTCACCATCATCAAAGACCAAAGGTAGATAAAACCACAAAGACAGGGAGAAATCAGAGGAGAAAAGCTGAAAATTCTAAAAATCAGAGCACCTGTTCTCCTCCAAAGGAACGCAGCTCCTCGCCAGCAATGGAACAAAGCTGGATGGAGAATGACTTTGACAAGTTGAGAGAAGAAGGCTTCAGACGATCAGACTTCTCAGAGCTAAAGGCAGATGTTCAAACCCATCGCAAAGAAGCTAAAAACCTTGAAAAAAGATTTGACAAATGGCTAACTAGAATAACCACTGTAGAGAAGTCCTTAAATGACCTGACGGAGCTGAAAACCACGGCACGAGAACTATATGATGCATGCACAAGATTCGGTAGCTGATTCGATCAAATGGAAGAAAGGGTATCAGTGGTTGAAGAGCAAATGAATGAAATGAAGTGAGAAGAGAAATTTAGAGAAAAAAGAGTAAAAAGAAATGAACAAAGCCTCCAACAAATATGGGACTATGTGAAAAGACGAAATCTAGGTCTGATTGGTGTACCTGAAAAGTGACAGGGAGAATGGAATCAAGTTGGAAAACACTCTTCAGGATATCATCCAGGAGAACTTGCCCAATCTAGCAAGGCATGCCAATATTCAAATTCAGGAAATAGGGGGCGGAGCAAGATGGCCGAATAGGAACAGCTCCAGTCTCCAACTCCCAGCGCGAGCGACACAGAAGACCGGTGATTTCTGCATTTTCAACTGAGGTACTGGGTTCATCTCACTGGGGAGGGCCGGACGATCGGTGCTGGTCAGCTGCTGCAGCCCGACCAGCGAGAGCTGAAGTAGGGCGAGGCATCGCCTCACCTGGGAAGCGCAAGGGGGAAGGGAGTCCCATTTCCTAGCCAGGGGAACTGAGACACACAACACCTGGAAAATCGGGTAACTCCCACCCCAATACTGCGCTTTAAGCAAACAGGCACACCAGGAGATCATATCCCACACCTGGCCCGGAATGTCCCACGCCCACGGAGCCTCCCTCATTGCTAGCACAGCAGTCTGTGATCTACCGGCAAGGCAGCAGCGAGGCTGGGGGAGGGGCGCCCGCCATTGCTGAGGCTTAAGTAGGTAAACAAAGCTGCTGGGAAGCTCGAACTGGGTGGAGCTCACAGCAGCTCAAGGAAACCTGCCTGTCTCTGTAGACTCCACCTCTGGGGACAGGGCACAGTAAAAATAACAAAAACAGGAGAAACCTCTGCAGACGCAAACGACTCTGTCTGACAGCTTTGAAGAGAGCAGTGGATATCCCAACACGGAGGTTGAGATCTGAGAAGGGACAGACTCCCTGCTCAAGTGGGTCCCTGACCCCTGAGTAGCCTAACTGGGAGACATCCCCCACTAGGGGCAGTCTGACACCCCACACCTCACAGGGTGGAGTACACCCCTGAGAGGAAGCTTCCAAAGCAAGAATCAGACAGGTACACTCGCTGTTCAGAAATATTCTATCTTCTGCAGCCTCTGCTGCTGAT